CAAAACATAAAGATATGGCATAGTACAGTGCCATCAGCCCATTTCTAGCATGCTGAATGTTAACGAATTTTGAGTACGTGTTTTTCTTACTATTACAATCTATTTTAATTGTTTTGCTGACTTTAAAGTCCGTAACACACTACCGCAGCGCACCTCAAGGAAGGAGCACCGCACTACCGCACCGCACACAAATTTTAAACTTATCAAGGGACCGCCTGATAAAAAAAAACACCTACAGAACATTTATTCGTTAATGAAATTACAAACGTCATTCCTTGTGACTTCCTCTCTAAAATCACTTAATTAATAAATATTTAACGAATTTACAATAGTGTTTTACTCACTGCGGAATAAAACTATTTTATTTAAATAGTTCCGAAGAGATTTTGTCGGTAGCCTTTTTCCCGAAATATCTAAACAGAATGTCTAAATATGTTTTGATGACATATTTTAAAGAGGTATTTATGATTAGTGTCATGATGAATAGATTCCGACCGAAAAATGGTGTCCGATATTTTGGATTCAAATATATTAAGTGTATAATCTATGTTTCGGATGAGGGCTCCATAATGAATTTAAATATATATAGATAATAGTTTTGGGGCATCGACTTTCTTGAGATCCTATAAAATATGTTTTAATTATTATTTTTGTATGATTTAAGCATGATAAAATTAGAAATTTTATATAAGCAATCATATTAAATCGATATCAAAATCAATAAATAATGTACAACCCAAAACAGACGGCCGAACTGACGTGACAATGACATTTGGCGCGCTAAACATGGCGGATTTTCGGCCTCATTAGACGGAGACGGAGACATTTACGTATATTCATGTTTCATTTTATGTACGCACTGAAAGTACGTACGTACTGTTATATTGTTTTCCTGCGAGTTAAAGTGCTGAGTAAGAACGAGATAGATATATGTTTATGTGTGTGCCTTCAAAATGGGTGCTATTTATATAAGCAATTGTACGTAGGTATAGAACAATATGTCGTGTCCCTACTATATAGGTCTATGCAAAATATAGATACTGAAAGAGCTTAGAGCTTGTACCTAGCCATAGACCACTATCAGACTAAGAACAATGGATAGGAATAATCACAGGAACTATTTGAGATGAACCTATCATCTCATTCTTACAATGGAAAGTTCCTCCATACTACCTGGAACCGCTGTGTTCATTTACAGTGCGTTCCCAGAGATCTTTTTTACCATTGACGCTTATGAGCTGAGTTGCTGACGGTCATAAGCGATGCTTACCTCATCAGGTAGCTTGTGAGCTCGTCTGCTTTATTCTTCTTCTTCTTCTTCGTCGCTTTCTTCATTGCTGAAGGCGTCCCTGAAACTTGACCGTGGTCTCGTGAGCTGTTTCCATCTCGTCCGTCTGTCTTATAAATACAATATAAAAATTATAGAGAATTTTTGTTGGCCAGACATTATTGACCTCCTTAGGGCAAAGAATGTGATCTCAGAACAAAACAACCAAAACTTACGACAAACTTAGTTTACCAGAGCCCAAAAACATCAAAACGTAATAGGACAACTTAACTGGAAACCTTTAAACTGGCTCATTTCATTGCCTATCTATCACATTCGATCTAAGTCAAAATTCTCTCCATCTTAATTCATTATAAAAAATAATTGCTGGACAGATCTTAAAAAATTGGCCAAAAATTTTATAATAACTAGTTGCGAAGTTAACTATAAAATCATAATAAAACACTAAACTTTTTTATTGCGTAAACATAAAAAAAGAAATTATATCATCTACCCTCAATCTAAAAACGAAATCTTTAACCGTTTCTTGATAGTTTAGATATTTAGTACTAAATATTTTGCTATTGAGTCAAGTATAATTCTTAAATAAACTGAAATAGCAACATTTGTTTAAAATTTTCACGGCAACAAAATACGTTCATCAGAATAATGGAAGTAGATGCAGTAAGTAAGAAATGTATTCTTATCCAGAAAGTTGACAATATCAGTTATGATCAAACTTTTCAGGAAAATATTAAAAGACATAATAGTTTCACAAGCCCAAACAGGAGAGCGCCTATATCGAAGAGAGCAGGACGTGAACGATGTCATAGCTATCATGCCCCAACAATTAAGAATCCTAAAAGCTCTGTACCTATTAAAAGTAAAGAAAATTGTTTAGAAGTGCCCAGGGTGAGTTTTTGATAGTTCGTATCTATTTAAATCTTTGGTAGTGTTAAAAAGGTAAGTTAGAATAGTATTTTCTAAAATTTGACTATATGACCGTTGAATATGGCTGCAATACCAAAAAAAAATTACAGTACAGTACTCAAAATCTATTAGCTAAGTAGCGTCTCATTCACCAGCAAATTTTCTTTTATCTAATTTATTCATCTTGTTTGATAATGCTGATAGATAAAAAAAAAAGATTTATTTACAAATAATACCCTTCAATACTAACTAAAACTGCATTTGAACGCACTCAATAAATCCTTTGCTTCAATAATTAAACTACGTTTTTAAGGAAGACTTTGACAAGTTTGACAAGAACTTGACAGTGGAAGATGCGTTCAAAATAGCTAGAAAATATTTTCGTTATTTTACTTAAATTAACGTATAATTATATTTATTAAATTCATATTTATCTCGAATATTTTAAAATTCATTTTTTTATATTTTTTATAACTTTTAATCGCGTTCTAATCACTTTTCATGCAGTATTCATAGAATAAATGTATCCACTGCAGGCATTACCAAATATGGAGTTTGCTCGTTTTCCCAACCGTCCTCCCTTCGATCCTTAGTAGCTCTCAGTTTTTATTTTCTATTAATTAATTGTGTTACATTCAAATGTTTTCATTGCATTTTCTAGTGTTACAATTTTAATTTCCTTCTTTTAAACAAACGTGAGTTCCTTTTATATTTCAGTTCGTGTCATAATTTAGGTCATAGTGCCCATATAGGTTATGTTAAAAGTGAAAATTTGATTCGAATAGTTATTTTGAGTTGTTATTATTTTGAAGTCGTATTTCGCGTTGCAGATGTCTTTTAGGGTGGTCCGCAGTTCGAAGTTCCGTCACGTATATGGCCAGGCGTTGAAACGCGAACAATGTTATGATAACATAAGAGTATCAAAAAGTTCATGGGACTCAACGTTTTGTGCGGTTAACCCTAAGTTCTTAGCCATAATCGTCGAGTCAGCCGGCGGAGGTGCCTTCATAGTACTGCCTCATAACAAGGTAAGTCGTGAAAGCGAATTTCTTCAGACACTAATATTAATTAGAGTAATCTATCTGTTTAACTTTAACCACATTTTACTGAACTACACATTTATAGTTTCAGTTTAATGAATATCAATGTTACTTTATGGCAACCTATTTATTAATATATATATCATTTTATAATTNTCAGCCGGCGGAGGTGCCTTCATAGTACTGCCTCATAACAAGGTAAGTCGTGAAAGCGAATTTCTTCAGACACTAATATTAATTAGAGTAATCTATCTGTTTAACTTTAACCACATTTTACTGAACTACACATTTATAGTTTCAGTTTAATGAATATCAATGTTACTTTATGGCAACCTATTTATTAATATATATATCATTTTATAATTTAAAAAAATATATTTGTATGTAATTAAAAATTATATCCCTGTCGTCATGACAACATATAGTTTCCGACTGTAATCGTGTATAAAACTCAATTAAAACAATAATAGCGTTGACAGCTTAAAAAAGTAGTAAGGCATTTTTTTTCATTGACACTGAATTTCCTTTATCATGAATATCACTGAAACTGAGACAGGCCAAGTATATCTATTGCTAACCATGTATTGGCATGACTATATAGAAGAAATAAGTTGTGAAAAAAAAAATCATGTTTTAAGGGAATCATTTTAATACCAAAATAAAGAATACAAACTAGTCAGAAAACCAAAAACTGCTGTACCAATCTGCCAATTTCAAATTTAAATTCCAAAAACCGCATGAAGGTGGCTGTCCTATATTACAAGAAATTGACATCAGTTTTTTTGCAATAGTTCATTGCATGTTTGATGATTTCTTTAATATCATTTCAGGAATTATATGCATTTCCATGTGTTATTTTCAGTAACACTATCATTCTCCCTATATTGTCTCTACAAGAAGCTATGTGTGCTAAACAAAAGTCTAGTATATTTGTGCCGTGTAGTATATTCATCACAGTATTGAAACTAAGCAAATAATATATAATTTCCATATATACTCAGAATAATATAAAAGAAAGATATTTTACAGAGTCTTTCCTCACCACATTGATGGTCCAAGTGACGTTGATTAATACTTCGGGACATACAAAATTCATTAAAATTTTGTTCATGTAATTAAGTTTTTTATAATTTTTTTGTTATAATAGATACCTCTATTACCCACAAATTTCGCAGTTCCCAATTTATTTATGGGTTTGATCCCAGTGAATGAATACCAGGCATTCCCAGGCAGGATAATCTAAAAATAAAAGTTTGAACATTGTCTTCTTTTTACAACGGAGTGCAAGTAAAGTTCAGTACCTCATTCAGTTCAGCTTATAGTAAAGAATCGAGTATTTTAAATTTTGCATTGAAACTATCAAAAATACATTTATCAAGGGTGTGTAATGGATAAACAGATTTCCCAGTGTTAAAAAAATTAATTATAATGGATATATTTAACAGCCAATGATACTCATAGATAACATAATTTTTAATAGTTAAGGGGTATAAAATCACAGTAATTTTATTGAAATAATTAATATCGTTAATATATTTTGTGTCTTACAATATTTTGTTTCTTACTTCTTACATTACTAAGCACAGAGTAAATATATAAAAAAAGTACCTCTAATAATACTAATTTGTTTCCATCCCTTATCACTGGAATGCATTGAGTCAGTAACTTGCATTATCTATACAAATTTTAGGTTTGACATACCAGTGCTTTTGATAACAAATCCAATTTAAAGTGTCTATTTATTTAAATTGATAACGCTGTCATCTAGACTATAATATTAAGAGGAAAGATTTTTTTGTTTGTTTGTTTCGAATAGGCTCCGAAACTACTGGACCGATTTGAAAAATTCTTTTTCCATTAGAAGCCGACATTGTCCCTGATGAACATAGGCTACTTTTAAAAAAAAAAAAATTATGTTATTTTTTTGGTTTCATGTGTGTTTTAATGTTTCCGAAGCGAAGCGAGGGCGGGTCGCTAGTAATTCATAATATTTTTACTATTTTACATATTAATTTCCCTCTCATATGTTTTGTAAATTTGAGTGGATTGACATGTTTACTTAATTTTATTTATCCGTTTTGTAGATTGCATAGAATTTTACTACTGATTGATAATAAAAGGTTAATTTATTAGAACATATACAAGTACAATAACAAGTCGCCGTGGCCCAAAGGATAAGACGTCTGGTGCATTTGTATGTGCACCGGTGTTCGAATCCCGAAGGCGGGTACCAATTTTTCTAATGAAATACGTACTTAACAAATGTTCGCGATTGACTTCCACAGTGAAGGAATAACATCGTGTAGTAAAAATCAAATCCGCAAAATTATAATTTGCGTAATTACTGGTCGTAGGACCTCTTGTGGGTCCACCCACCTAAGCATTAAAAAAAATGTATAATTGATTTGATTAATAATATATGGTTACGTTATAAAATATTTTTATAATCGAAGGAAATGTCATAATTACGGAGGATGTTTTGTTATCATTGGCCCTAACTGATTGTACGTGTTGTGGCCGTAGCTACCATAGTAATTATGTATTCCGCTTAGAAGGATAGGAGATCCGATATGAATTTGATTACACATATACAGGAATAGAGCTCGCCATTAATGAAATATTACTGTTGTATTTATTTTTTTGTGGGCTTTAAAACGCTTATTCTAAAAAACACGAAAAAAAGTGGTTTATCAGTAAGACAATGGAAGTTATGTGACTATATAACATTGTGTCACCGATCCGGTGTCACAATACGAGCGCACAATGAATAATGTTGAGGTCATATTACAAAAACAATGATTCCAAGTAATATCTCATTGATAAACTGTAGTGCGGTAGGCAGCGGCTTGGTTCTGCCCCTGGCATTGCTGAAGTCCATGGGCAACGGTAACCACTCACCATCAGGTGGGCCGTATGCTCGTCTGCCTACAAGGACAATAAAAAAAAATAAAAAAAAACTTGATGGTGGTTTTGCAAATTCGCTGTCTGTCTGTCTGATGCTTTGAACATGTTTTCGTTCGTTCGTAATCAGCAGAGCTTCGTGACTTGTTGGGTAAATTATGAAACAAATCGCCTAAGTAATCGGTGATAAAGTATCTTCTCACCCCACATAGCTATTTGGCAAAGGATAATATTAACGAAGTATTGGCTAAATTATAAAACCAATCGCCTAAATAATCGGTGGTAAAGGATCTTCTCACCCCACAGAGCTATTTGGCATAGGATACTATTAACTAAGTATTGGCTAAATTATGGAACCAATCGCCTAAGTAATCGGTGACAAAGTATCTTCTCACCCCACAGAGCTATTTGGCAAAGGATACTGTTAACTAAGTATTGGCTAAATTATGAAACCAATCACCTAAGTAATCGTTGGTAAAGGATCTCACTCCACAGAGCTATTTGACAAAGGATACTATTAACTAAGTATTGGCTAAATTATGAAACCAATCGCCTAAGTAATCGGTGGTAAAGGATCTTCTCACCCCACAGAGCTATTTGGCATAGGATACTATTAACTAAGTATTGGCTAAATTATGGAACCAATCGCCTAAGTAATCGGTGACAAAGTATCTTCTCACCCCACAGAGCTATTTGGCAAAGGATACTGTTAACTAAGTATTGGCTAAATTATGAAACCAATCACCTAAGTAATCGTTGGTAAAGGATCTCACTCCACAGAGCTATTTGACAAAGGATACTATTAACTAAGTATTGGCTAAATTATGAAACCAATCGCCTAAGTAATCGGTGGTAAAGGATCTTCTCACCCCACAGAGCTATTTGACAAAGGATACTATTAACTAAGTATTGGCTAAATTATGAAACCAATCGCCTAAGTAATCGGTGGTAAAGGATCTTCTCACCCCACAGAGCTATTTGGCAAAGTATACTACTAACTATATTTTCCACAGTCAAGCGTTTCGATAAAATTGCCAGAGTCACTGTTATACCCCTTTAAGAGTCCCTTTTTAGGTCCTTTACCCTAAGGTTGGTAACTAGTACTTCATTCTGATATCTAAGGGCTAATTTTGTTTGACATCAGAGCCCATCCAAAGCAGTAAGAATATCCAGTAAAAAATTACAAATAACCGGTAAAAAAACAGTTCGAGTTCTAACTTTAGGTACGTTCTACTACAACTGAAACTTCGACCGGTGTGCTTAGTGCGAGTTTTTTAACGTTCGCGATAGCGTAAAAGTTAGATCATACTTCCATGGAATGGGATCGTTTGCGTACGTTTGCCGCTAGGGGCGCTGTTCCAACTGCAGACAAAATTGGGCTAACTTTTACGCTATCGAGAACGTTAAAAAACTCGCACTAAGCACACTCATGTCTGAGAGTGGGTGGTGGCACTCAACACATCATGATGTATATGGACTTCGGAAATCACCAGACCAAGTAGTAGCCCGTGAGTTCGACTGCTGATCTAGAGCTAGATAAAGTGTTGAAGAAATTTATTCGTTCTCCCCATTATACAGTTTTTTGCGCGAAATGGGAAAATAGTTAAACATTCTCATGGGTATCTATATACATATCGTTGTTGTCAAACCAAAATCTGCTATCTGCACTTTGAGATTTTTACTTTTTGACCCTTTCGTATAGTTCACAGCCCTATCTACCGTATAAAAAAAACTGTTATGTGTCTATAGCTTTAATATTTATATATAGCTTTCATTTGATATAGTTCTTAAAAATATAAAATTTTATATGAAAATGTTTTTACTCGTTAATTCAAAATAGAGTTTTTGCACATAGCAGATTTTGGTTTGACAGCGACGATATACAAATTACTAGCTGCACCCGCCGCTTCGCTGGGCATTTAAAATTAACATTATTATTTCTCACCCCCACAACGCTTCTTATCATTAACGCCCCCGCAACTGGTGTAGGGAGTCCAACACTCATATACATATTACTCTATCCATTAAGTACATGTATTTTCTACATGGATACCAAGCTTCAAGTCAATCGGATGCATGGTTCAGTA